TGTTCCACCCTGCAGCAGGAGAGCAGCAATGCCCAGGCTCCTCAGAGACTCTGCATCCAGCCATCCTAAAATTCCTTCTGTCATAACCCAAACCGAATTGTTCCCAGCTTTACATCCTAACTTTTTATGGTACTTCTCCTGTTTTGTTAATGGATTTCCCTTTTCCAAGCAGAAGCAGCTTTCAAGCTCATTACTGAGCAGACCTTATCTGAAAGGAGCTGCTGTCCCTCAGGAACATAGTGGAAAATATGAAATCACAACGAAACTTATATCTGGAAACTTCGCATGTGATGAGCTGAAACTTTGTTATGGGAAATACGCTGCTTCTGTTCAGCAACAACCTTGGCAGAGTTGTTTTTTTTTTTTTTCCCCAGAAATCAAGTCCCACATTGCTATGTGACAAAAGTAAATAATGACTCATTAAATGATCCTAAGAAGAAAAACTGAAGGCTTGCTCCTCTCAAAGGTATTTGCACTGGGAAATTTGATAATGTCACCAAACACAGCAGCAAACATTACTTGAAGATTTTCTCTCTTTGTTGAGCCAGCCAGCAGCATGCTGAAACCACTGCTCTACGTGGCTGTGCAGTCACCTTCACAACAAAGCTTTGTTTTTCCATCCTCAGACAAAGTTCGATACAGAAAAAACTATATGTCAAAAAGGCTGTGTGAAGAATTAGACAGAGGCACTGCCACAGCTGGTCGTCTTAATGCCAGGCACACTGCGCTTAAGAGGCCAACTCTCTCACTGGAAGGCTTATTTTAATTCCACTTGAGTTTGACTAAATACTCCAAAAACAATTCCTTTAACACCCATTACCATAGTAGTCACAGCCCTTGTACCAAGCTAAAAACTTGTGCAAGGCTCTCAAAGACAAGAGGCAGATTCATTTAACAAAAATAGGAAAGCACGATACAGAATGTGTGATATGGGAGGTCTGTGTGAAATGTCTGATACTACACAGCAAACGCGCCATGGAGCAGGGACTTCAAGCCAACTCCAAAGGCATATTTAAAATTAAATAAATTATTCTTTCTCTCCATTTCACAGCAGTTAAGGCATCAGCACTGGCAGAGGTTAAGCAGGCAATTCGTTTACTCCTCCTAAGTTACCTCATCCATAGTAAGTTGTCTTGGTTGGGGTTTTGGTGGGGAAGAGGGGAGGGTGGGTTGTCTTTCACTTGCAACCACCACTTTGACACTGTAATGTCTCTGCAATAATACTCTTCTTAGCAACCTCTTTAGCACCTACAGGTCAGCACCCTGACCTTTGATAGAGACTACAGTAGCAAAAAGTCATATATATTAGATTGAAAACTAGATAAGTTCTATTTAAGAACAAATTAAACCCTTTTATGCATTTCTGCAGCTAAAATTTTTGACATATTCAGACCTGAAACTTTAGTCGAGTCATTAAAATGCAAAAAAATTACATGTAGCTGTCTACAGTAATGAGGGTATTCATATTTGCAGCTTGACTCTCAACCCTATTGAGATTTACATATTTTTTAAATAAATTTTCATCCAACTAAGACAGTATATATAATTAATGAGATACAATCTTTCTACAATGATTTCTTCACACTGTAGGTTTATAGCTACATTCCTTTTTCTTTTAATGTTCATATCTTTCTGTGTGCACTCCTTGGGTATGCATTGGCATCACAAGGTGCTCCCCGTCCCTGGCTGCTACTGCCAGGAAACAGAGCCAGGAGGTCCCCACACAATCCTGGCCATGCCCAGCCACAAGCCCAGGTGCTATTCCAGCCCCAGCCTGTTCTCCTGAAATAAGCCTTGAATGCATTAACTTTGGGGCAGTGCTCATCATCCTTTTCAGTCTTCATTTGACAACAGGATGGGGCTGTGTCTTAGGGGGAAAAAAGTTCGATACCCACTGAAGAGGAGGATATATCCACCTAGAGAGGGATAGTGCTTCATGTGCAAAACTGGGCTAGTGGTCATCCTGAAAATCAGTAGAGGTAGGCTGATCCTTTCTAATTGCTTGCCACGCACTGCTCTGGGCCTGGATAACATTTGCCAAATGCAAAACCTCTGCCTTTATCCAACTTTCACAAAAAGTGAGCTTTTTGTACTTAGGACTGATAATCCTTCTTAAGAAGGATTTTTTACATTCATATGCTTTAAAGTTCCAAAACTTTCTGAAAGACTTCAGTTCCCATGCCCCAAAGTGATCTTGGACTGGGACTCTATTTTTTTTTCAGTACCAAACTGCTTGATGTATCTTCTCCCACAATGCATGACCGCCTTGCAGACATTTAACATGTGTTTGTATACTGTGTTTATTGCAAAAGGCAGAGTGGTGGAGTTTTCCTCAGTTTATAAATATGGACATGCTCCTTAAGCCTTCCCAGATAATTCTAGAGATACGGAGAGACAAGGTTTTGTATCTACCTGTAAAGCGTTAGGTCTGCCATTTCTAAATAATTCCAGTAAGGAAAAAGCTATTGAATTTTAACAGTTTCTATTCAGCAAGCACCATAGTGTCACACACAAATGTGTTTTCACCTTCTGGACCCTAGCTCAACCAAACAACTGCTTGTCATTCCTACAAGTGGTTGCAGTTTATTGCAACTTTTTCCTTAAGCCTACTCTCCTTTACAATTTCTAGATCACAAAAATCCTTCTGATAATTAAAGTGACTAAATTCCGAATGTTGCCAATACCATGATCTTACATATAAATGAAGTTGCTGCTATTTTATAGCTCCCTGGCACTTTTATAAGCTGGCTTTATCACTGTTGCAACTTCTTACATATATTTAGGCTCAAATCAACTACTGTCAGTACTGCAGACAAGAGTAACTGCTTCTTTACATGTAAAATGCTCTTAAAAGCTTTGTTGCTATCCTCTGTTTAGTGTGTAGGCAGTTATTTACATAGTGGAAATGCTTTACCATTATCAGTGGGTTTGAAGCAGTTCCTCTTGTGGCAGTTCCACAGTGTAAGCAAATATTTTTTTAAAAAATCTGCATAAGAAATATTTAGATATTTTAGTGCCCTTTAAGTTGGATAAAACCACCACCTTTTTCCTCGTCAGTTACATGCACAGGGTTTAAATACAGTATTGTGGGTACTGTTCAGCTCTGAATGTCTCTAAATTCTCTTTCATTTTCTCCTTTCTGCTCCCCACCTTCTTCTTCCCCATGGTCTGCTTCCTGCTATCTCACATCTGTCTGACAATACTCAGAATATTTTTGTAGGGAAAAAAAAGCAGTAAAATTTTAAGACACACTGAAAGCCAGAGCAGCATTCTCTTGATGTACAAAAGTCTTGCCTCCAAAGTCAATATTTGTTGTGAATAGCATATGCATGTCAAAATTAGCAGGCTGTGCCCATATCCACATTCATGTCTCATTTCTAACTCAGCCCTTCCAGCCAGGTTAGCACTAGGTGGAAGATGCTGTGCTTCCACCCCTGCACATGGAAAGTGATGCCACGTATCTCCAGCTCACTCTCTTCACTGCAGTCATTTCAGACCCAATGCCTAAAACGATCCATACTTGTCAGAGGACAACCTTTCTAGGGGAAAGGAATGGCTCTTGCTTGCAAGAACAGCAGGCACAGCCACCCACACTTAGCAGATACCATGTACTGCATACCCTTCTAAAGCAACATCCAGCAATGTTAAAGCAGAGCCTCTGACCATAGAAATTACTCGAGCTCTGCTGAGGTGCATGAACTGGTGACAATTATCTCCACCTGACAACATGCTCCAGAGGACATCCTGTACCAAGTTACATCAGCACATACATTTGAACCACTGTGGACTATCTAAGGAAAAAGCTAAAAGGACCAACTCAAATTCTTATCAGAGGCTGCTTTGGCTAGAAATACCTTGTCAGGAAAGGTTAGCAGAAAGCACGGGGCTGTCTCTGACAAAGACCCTACCAGAGGTGCTATTAAAGGTTAAACAGCTGATCTTTCCAATGAGTAATCCCTAACTTTCATCTGCAGATGGCCGTCTGAGTGGATTTTTCCTGAGCAGCTCAGGCGTGCCCCTGCACTGCCCTCCTCCCAGCGAGCTGCCGTCCGCTGTGGCGTAAGGGAAACCAGCTCGGCCCACAGCGGGGTGGAACTATTTTAAGTAATAGTGTCTGATACTAGAGGAGCATGAAATTCAGTCCTGTCATAGCTGAAATACCTAACCCCCCCTTAAAAAAAAAAAAAAAGCTATTGCAAAACCCCTCCCAGAGGCTTATAAACTGAACTCTGGAAATTGCTCTCAAGTTGTAAGCCAGTAAAAGTTAAGTTCTGTATCTTATAACTTACTGTTAAAAAAAATAAACAAAATACATCTATCCACAGCAACAGTCACAGAGTTTTATCTATTGCTCAAGGATTGAGTTGTAGAGATGAGTTTTCTTGCCTCTATTCTAAGACCCGTTATTGTGTATACAAAAGCAGCCCACATAACGACAATGTGTAATCAGCAGTACTGCTGGCCAATTTATACAAGGCAGCAGAAGATACAGGGGAGAAAACGCACTGTCACAATAGATACCTGTAGGCATACAGCCCCTCACTTTCTAATACAAAAACTAGGACCAGAGAGTCCCATTGATTTGGATTTAGTCAAACCCTAAACCATACAGGATTCCATCCAGAGAAATTAAACTCAAATAAAAACACAGAGAAAGGAAGAATAAGATCCATAATTATTCTTGTTATTATCTTCATCATCCCACATAAGCAGTGAAAAAAACCTGTACCAACAAATGCTTAAAGCTTATGTCTGCTGAGTTTCCCATTAATAATTTTCCCCTCCCCAAGAAAGCCACAGACAGGGCAATCATGGGCAGCCCAGGTTAGCCACGTTCTGGTGTATTATTCTTTTTTTTTTTTTTTTAAACCGTCGCAGAACCAGAAAACCAAACTAAAATGTTAGTTGAAAAGATGACCAAGAAGAAAAAAAAAAAGTTATTTGCTTAATCATGACAAACCCAGCACCCAAGCGCCCCAAAACAATAGACTTTTAACCACCTCGTCAATAGCATTTCCACAGAGCCAGGAAAGTGGGGCGTCTCCTGTCTGCCTGAAGGCAGAGACAGACAGCCAAAAAGGAGGTGACTAGGGCCCTGGAACCCCAAATAACCCTTTTTCCTGGTGCGAGGCCAGAAGGGCAGCTCCTGCCCGCAGCACTTGGGCACCTCTGCCCTAAGGTCCTGCACGCTTTGCCCGTGTCGTAAGCCCTGGGCTACGAGCTTTAGGAAGAGACCACTTCAAGCCCAATGCAGGCACAAAATCAGGTTGTTGGGTTGTTTGTTTTTTTGGGGGTGGGGTGGGTTTTTTTGGTTGTTGTTTTGGTTTGTTTTTTGTTTTTTTTTTTACACCTGGTCCTTTTCTCTAGCTTCTTGCATCATTCTTCCTGATTTAATACACAATTTTAGCTCCCTGTGTCATGGGTTATTGGCACACTCAGCCCTTGCTTAATACTGTAAGCAATCTTTACACTCTGTTCTAGCCTACTAATTTCCTTAACATATACTAAAATATCTGATTAAATGCATTTCTCATTCACTGTAAATAAGTCATGAAAATATATAACTGAAGCTTTTTTCAGAGCTGGTATTCAGCCGATATTACTAATCATAATTTGCTGCACTTTTCTGTTGCAAGCAGAATGCTTGGTCAATGTAATTCGATAGTTGTGGAGGAAAGGGCAAGCCCTTTGCTAGGGTAAGTTTTCAGAAATCCACTGAAAAACACAGAACCGTAGCAACACACCAGCTGAGCATTTCCCTTAAACACAGCCCTAGCCATAAGATGCAAAACTCATTTCACTGAATTGTATCATTGCATGATACCATTCGCAGCCTTAAAATGAATAATAATTAAAAAAAAAAAGTGGACCAGGCAAATTTTGGCACATCATGGAGAAGCAGCGACATTGCCATGGCTCAACAGATATTCAGCAAACACATTAAAAGTGCAGTTCAGAATAGGAGAGAAAACTATTCCCATTCATCAGTATGGAGTAGACTTTTACTTCCATTTACAACCTTAGTTGTCAATTAGTGGAAGAATAGACCTGAAAACTATACAACCACTTCAGAAGTGAGGAACATCACTTCCTGGGATGCGTATTCCTCTTTTGAAAAGCTTAAATGATGTCTAACACTCTGAACAGAGTCAGGAGACCTGATCACAAAGGCAGTGGCAGAGGACAAAAGCACTATTATAACTCCAGGTTGCTGAAACACTCATATACTAATATGAAGATGTGAAAAAATGTTGTTACGCACACGTAACACTGCCTGTCTTATTCAAATCTAAAATAGCTCAGTTTAAAATTTGTATCCTCTTGCGGATAATACAGAAAGGCAGAAATACAAGCAATAACCAATGGGAGAGAGTATTTCTAAATATTACTGTCGTGAGCCGAGGTATTTTGCTACTCCACTCATGAAAATAATGGTACGCGTCACTATTACTGACTACAACTGAGGCGCAAATTAAAGCCAGGTTAAGGCAGTGACACACCATGCTGAGCTTTTAAAGAACTTTGGCTTTTTTGCCATTTCCCCCCGTTTCTCCCTTGTATGTGCTCAAAGCCTGAACCTGCTAGTAGCTTGTTCCTCTAATGCCCAGCATTCACCCTCCCCACCACATTCAGGTGTCAAAGGCAAATGCAGAAATGCTGTCAGCAGAAAAGCTAAGTGCACAGCTCCAAAGGCAAATGTTTAGCACACTAGTAAATGGTCATTTTGCTATCCATGTGTAATATTTTGGGACTTTAAAACTTCCATGTTTAATGGAGGAACAATGAATAAGTGCACTCTGAAAGGTCACGAAGGAGAAAGCACTTCTTCAAAGCATAAAAGAAGCTTCAAAGTATACCTAAATACTGTGACACCTACCTATCCAGTAAGGGATCAAGGGACTACTTTGCCAGACGCTCTACAGACACACTTTCCTTGTATTTCTTATGAATGAAGAAGCCCTGTTTAAAAAAAGGAAGAGCAGCTGTTAAGCTGAACACTGGGCTCTTTCAATGTTATGTGACATCTCTAGAAGGAAAAACTATAACTCTATCCACAGAAATGTGTTGCTTATATAAGTGATGAAATAGAGAAAAGAGTTGAAGGATTATTTTTTTTTAACTGCTTACACCATGACTAACGCGAGTCCTCTTTGGTTACTTTCCACTGAAACATAGGAGTGTAAAAATATTACCCACCTATTTGGTGTCTGTTGGAGTAAGTAATTTTGCCTGTGCCACACTATAAATAATGATATTAGTGTCAACGAGTCAACTGCTCAAATACTAGCAGATCCCCAGCACTTTATTTGTCTGGGCAAGCAAACGCTTCAACTCCACGCATCTTTTAAAAGAGCAACCGTTGGCCACTAAATCTTACACTCATACTTTTGGGTTGTGTTTGGGTTTGGTTTTTTTTGTTTGTTTGGGGTTTTTTTAACAGTTTCTGGTTTTCAAGAATGCAGAGGGAAGCACAATCTCCCGTAAGAGGTAGGGGTTTTTTAACCATTTCCTTTTCCTTCTGAAGGCTACCCCCCAGCTTTCTACTTGTGTTTTGTTTCATAACACACTTGCAACTGGATCATAGGTAGATATAATTTATTATGCCAACTCTGTAATAAGAAACCCTCTAGAGACTTATCACTATGAGCACAAACAGGTCAAGTCCTATGAAACCAGGAAATGTTGAAAACCCCATTTTAGAAACTGTCTCTATTGCTCGCCAGTTCTCTGATAATGGGAAGAAGAAAAAGGTTTTAAAGGTGTCCTGCATAGCCTAGCATTCAACTTGGCTGTGCGTTTAACTACGAAATTACCCAAATTAAAATGAATAACGTTTTACACATTTGCAGAGTTAACTTGACAATATTTTTGCCAAGAGCTGCAATACGATCCTTCTCTCTATCTGGGAAGATGTGTTCAGTCAGGGCTTTTAGGCCCCTTAGGGCATTGCTGTACTTCTGCTCTGAAGCACATAAGACATCTAGAAACTGCATGCTTAGTAACATTAATAGCACACGCAGTTGTATGTGACCCATTTTAATGGCACGCTATGGCAATCCTTGGGTAAACCTGGATTGTCATGAGCCAGAAGAGCACTCTGCGGACAAATGCATTTAATAGAGTTTCTCCTCTGGTCCTGCAGGCATGTAGTACAGGCCCCATAAAACCAGGACCTTTGGTGCTTTTTGAGTCTGTATTTTATCTTACCTGCATACGTGCCAAGCAGCTGTATGAGAGAAACTACACCGAGCCACCACTTTAGTTAGGGCTGGCATCTGTTAACTGCACCCACTTACCCCAGGGAGAGGTAACTCGGTACCATTTTTCCCACCGCATTCACAAACCAGAATTTCCTAACAGACATCTAGTTGTTTATAAATGGATGATTTGCCAGGTCTAACAGAGGGGCACAGTTTGAATGTTGTTATACACCCCTTACTGGGGGCTTCACCACCAGCCAGCACTGTTCATTTTCCCTACTTGAACTTGCAAACACTGCTAATTTCAGAAGGGAAAAAAAACCAAACAAACAAAACACAGAAACCCAAACCCACATTTTCACCATGTTATGTGTTAGCTGCTCCTTGAATTGCTAAATGTGGAACAATAGCCTTTGTTTGAGACCTGTTTAGAAGGGCTAATATATGTAAAGGAAGGCTCTCCATCTGAAGTTTTAATTCATTCAAGAAAAAAATAACAAATTCTCACTCTTGTTTCATATCTTTCCTTCAAGGGGGGAAAAAGTTGCCATGAATTGTTTTCAGCCCCATCCTTATACACCAGGTTTCACTGTAAAGCCTTATGCCAAGGCAAGGACTTGACCCTCTCACAGTCAACAGCTCCTCATGCAGCACAACTGCTGCTTTCCTCTTGCTCAGACCTTCAAGAAACGCTTTGGTCTATGCCGTTGGCTGGAAGTAGCACTTTGTGGAACATGTAATATGCAAGGATTGAAGGGATTTTAAAGGATCTAACAAATATGGTATTTGCTAGGAACTGTTTCTGGATTCATACCCCTGGCTGTTTTCTCATTAACATCTAGAAATAGAGGAAAAGTTTTTGAAGATACGATGAAGCAAGTGAAGGGAATTCTTCTCATCCACATGCTGGACCTGTTATCTCATCCCAGTACATCAAGCCAAGAGCGTGCAATGTGTTACTTCAGTGTCAGTTCACACAAAAAGCACCACCACGGCAACAAATATTATAATTTCACAAAAAACACATAGAAATGCCAGATACTATATTATTAGAGGCAGGTAGTCTCAAAAGCAGTGTTGAATACAGTCTATAGGCTATGATCAGGATCAGTGCTAGAAACACACAGGTTGCCCATGCTCCAGTGATAGGACACAAGGCAGAAAATCAGCATGAGGAAATGCGGGAAGTCACCAAATATTAGGTACTCTTACCACAGGAAATAACGCAAGTCCCTGCTGGCAATTAGAATAGAAACCATAGCCTACTTGTATTTTATTAGCAATATTTAGTAGGGATCTACAGATATTTTATGTCATTATTTTCATAGTTCCAAATGAAGCCTTTTGTCCTATTGAAAAGCAATATTTCTAATAAAATTTTTATTTTATATAAATATTTATTTATTTTGAGTTAAGCTTTGATTTACCTAAACCCTTTTGGATTAAAAGCCTCCAGTTGCTAATTTTTCCACAGAAAAAGGGATGGCAGATTTGATTAGTCTAATTTATTCTCTCCTCTCTGTTGTGGGTGAGGATGCACTTACACTTCAAAGTCTTGACGTTGTCAACACTCATTGAATAAGGAAAACAGTTTCTCTTTCAGGCTTCACTGTTAGAGTTATTTTTATTTCAGAAAGGATTTCCTTTTCTTTCTATATAGCAACTTGACCATCTAAAAAGCTGTAAAATGGGATGAAAAACATGCTTGAATGACATGTGCATCAGCTTCATACTTACACTCGCCAGCCCCACCAGACTCATGCAAATACAGTGTACAGGACAGACTCCACACTGCCTCCAGTTAGTCCCCCTCTACAGTCCCGGCATTTGGCTCTGAATCCCTTGCTGAGGAAACCACCTAGTGCTGCATTA